CCCTTCTCAGCCCCGCACCAAAAAAAAAAAAGAGCATGGTTGAACACAAAGAATATCATTGATTTATCTTCCGAAGCTAGTTGGGTATTTATCTTATTTCGAATTTTCGATAATCATGGTTGAATCAATGATATTCTTCCATGGTCTAATCATTGATTTATCAAGACGATCATCATCATCATCATCATCATCATCATCATTAATCATCATCATCATCATTAACCTCTCATCATCCCCATCGATATCACCCTCGACATCAGATATCTCTCTGTCTTCTATCGTCGTCTTCGTCGTAGCAGGACGAGGACGAGGAGGAGGAGGAGGAGAAGGAGGAGAAGGAGGACGAGAAGGAGGAGGTGAAGTGTATTCAGGTGAGAGTCAAGCCCAATCAAGTCAAATCAATTCAAATCAAGTCAACTGACGGCAAGCCCAATCGAATCAAGTCAACGCAAGTCAACGCAAGTCAACGCAAGTCAACGCAAGTCAACTCAAGTAAAAAAAAAAATAAACAAAAAAAAAAACCAGAAACAGAGTCACTTTGAACTAACCTTTGCTAGCGCACATCTTGAATTCCAATACTTTGGTGTTTTTTTTTTTTCGCAGAGCAGAGCAGAGCAGATCACTCAGCAGCGCCCCAGACCTCCTTCCCTCCTTTCTCCACACCGTTGACTTGCGTTTACTTGCGTTGACCATTGATCAAGCCTGCCGTTTCACTCTTCTCTCTGCTAAGACCCCTTTTCGGAAGTAACTGAAATCTGGTGCCCAAGGTAGATAGACTCTTCAGATGGAGTTTCTCTTCCCTCAGATGGTGAAGACTTCCTTGTGTCGTTTGTGTTCCGCCAGCGACTCCCATCTCACCTCCTCTTTGTCTCCATCCTCCTCCTCCTTCGTCTTCTTCTTTCTTCTTCGGAATCGGAATCAGAATCTGAATCAGAATCTAAATTGGAATCTGAATCAGATCCAGAATTAGAATCGGAATTAGAGTCTGAATCTGAATCTGAATCAGAATCAGAATCAGGATCAGAATCTAAAACGGAATCTGAATCACAGAATCAGAATCTGAATCTGAATTTGAATCTGAATAAGAATCAGAATCAGAGTCAGAATCAGAATCTGAATATGAATCAGAATCAGAATCTGCACACTGTCAAGGGTACTTCTCGCTTCTCCCGCGCAACACGATAAACTTTTTTCCCGCGCTTTCGTCTCTTCGGTCTTAGGATGGCAATCTCTCAATCTCTTGTCTTATCCATTACAAGCAGGAGGAGCTCACGATCAAACTTCCCGCGCTTTCTTCTGCCCAAACTTCCCGCGCGTTTTTCTTCTGCTGCGCGTGCTGAGATGATGACACGTGGCGCAGCGTCGATTGCTTCTTTCTTAAGAGAAGGAGAGTCTGAAACCAATCCCTTATCTTAACCTATGCGTTCCTCAGTTGTGTGTATCCCCCTTGTCCTCTCTTTCTCTGTCGTATGTGATATCCCGAGCAGCTGTTCTCCAAGCAGAGGTTCATCCACCTACCCGCTTTCAGCTTCGGCCTGCACAGCTGGTACTCCCGCCCAAACCTTTCCCGCCAAAACCTTTCCCGCCAATCATCCGCCCAAAGATTGAAGACTGCCTACCAGACGGTAACTTCTCTCGTTCAATCAATTTGTTGCCTTCAGTTCACTAGCGATATTTACGAATCACACAGAGAGAGAGAGAGAGAGAGAGAGAGAGAGAGAGAGAGAGAGCTTGGAAGGACAGGTAGATCCTTGTCGTTTTAAGTAAGTTTCCGTTTCAGGAAATGCGGCAGGTAGATTTAAACTTAAAATA